GGAAAAAAGGAAAAAGAAAAAGCCCCAACACAATTAACCAAAACAAACTCTAATTTAAACAATTACAGAATGAGTCATGTATGGGCTAACTGCTAATAGACGTTGATGCATTAATGCCCTTAGCAGTTGCAGAATAGGATTAGAAAACTAACAGTTACGAGGTCAATCTAAATCTTCACRTGCATTTCAGTAATGGGGCAGCAAAAAGGGAAGCTTAAAAAGGAAAATAAACCCAACCTGAACCCACCACTGGCAATTTCATGAGCGGCTCACCTGCCAATGCTTCAAAGCACAGCTTACCTAAATCACCACCTTTGGGGGCCATATTTAATGGATCGCCTCTTCTTAAAGCCTCCTATTGCCTCACATTTAGGTGCTATCAACTTGTCTCACCCCCCCAATCACTCACAGAGCTGCATCAGCAGGTCACGATCAAAGCACCAAACTGGAAGATGGTAGGAACCTCTCAGGTCAACACAAAAATCACATCCAAGTTTAACTAAATACACTTTAATAGGACATTGTTAAATCTCATGAAGGCTAAAAAACACAGATCTCAGGTACTTGGGTTGGCAAATAAAGACAAGAATACTAAAGAAGCATTTTCCACCATTTACTCATTATCAAAAATATTTTTCAACTCTTCTTGCAAAACAAAAACAAAAAAGTACAGACTGGACACATACATCACATTTTTTCTTCCTATGGCTTTAACCCCCCACCCTACCCACCCCACAAAAAAGACGGGGGGAAAAACAAACCAAAACCAACAAAAAGAGCCAACCACGTTCACAGGAAATGACACCATGGTACACTATGAAACGAAAGGGGGTGTCATTCGTGTCCAAAGGTTTTTTGCTTATTTCTTAGGTGAGGAACCATCATTGTACATGCTTTGTGCCAAATCAAAATACACCTGACGGGAAAGCTGGGAAGCCCTGGAGCCCGCCTTCAACAAACGCCAGGAAAGATGGAAGCAGGAAAATAAGAGGAAAAATACAAATGCTATTCAATGTGCTGCGGGAGCAGGAACTGCCCTGTGAAACAGGAGGGTTTGGAATTCTAGTCAGCCCACATTTTATTTATGCTGTATCAAAGGGGACACATTTCTGCCTTCATGAAGCAWCCCGACTTTGCCAGGATGCCCATGACGCCTTTGGACTCAAGTCTAAACCCTCCTGCTTGTGCTCACGTGGAGGGATTTCCCAGAAATAACCCATTTTTACATGAAGTTGAATCCCTACCAAGGAGCCGCCTTTTTTAGCACTTCTTGAGAGGAGCTCCTGGACAACTTGTGCTGTTTCTGCCATCTGGGGCCTTTCAGCCCAGGTGACATCTACCTGCAAAAACAACTTTGGACATATTACAGAAAAATCAGAAGGATTTGGGGTGGAGTGAATGATACAGCTTCTTTTCTCTAATAAGCATCCAAAATATTTGACCTTAGTCGAAAGCCATCAATTTTCTGAAAGTTCAACCTGAAAAAAAGGCCTGTTAGCAGTGAAATGCCYTTGTGTATTGTGGTACAAACTTAAGAAAAGTGAAAGAAGACAGAAAAACACAGTGTGGTAAGTGCCTTGGAAGCCTCTACAAATTGAAGGTACCATCTGCAGCAGAGCTGCAGTCCTCAGCCCCTGGGGGTCTCCTTCGCAGCCTTCTGATCAGCTTTCCTCTCCAGCCACAACAGTGATAAAGTCCGCGGGGCCCCCAAAGACCAAAGAGGGCATTACRAAAATCGAAGCCTTCTTTTAGGCACAGGCGTTTTTTGCTCCCCATGCCACGTGGGGCAGTAACACGTCACACCAGCGGAGGTGGTGCCGAGAACSCGAGGGATCAGGAACGCGACCTGCACGATTGTCAAGAAAACAGAAGCAAGCAATGGTGATAACAGCGGGGGTGGCCTGACAGCCGACCGGGTCAGCAAATGCCCTGACCTTTGCTTGGCGACTTGGGAAGCTGCTTTGGGGCTACTACCTTCCTCAAGGTGTTACTGTTTATTGTTTTTAAACTGTTCGATACAGTAGGTGACCAATTCCCACAATGAGAAATTATCTGCTATTCCAAGACTGCGTTCCCCAGCTCAAGGCTACATTTTCTTCAGGAATATTGGGTGATTTTCTAGCAATAGTGACTGCAGCTAACTGAACATCGCTTTTCTACATTGTCATCTAGAAAAACCGAGAAGGACTAACTAGGTACCAGTTCTCTCCATTTCAGCAGAGGCTTTGACTGAGCACAAAGCATGAACGAATACAATGAGGTTAATATATTCCTTGCCAAAGATCTTGTGATAAAAATCATTTACATCAGCAATTGATCTCAAACTATGAGGTGCTGTAAGAACTAAAAACAGTTTTAGGGTAACTCCTCCATTATCTGCAACTATTTCCCAGACACTAATACACATAACATAGCAATGAAAAACACTTGATACAAGTGATCTAAACGCAGGAGCTCCAGCAAGTTAAACAGAACCATAGCTGCCTTAAAACTGTAGCAGTTCCCCTACTAACGGTAGGGAAAAGGGAGAAAGATTCAACAGTCATATCGCATGTCTATAGCTTCATCCAAACTTTTATCATCGTGTGTACTGGCAGCTAAAAACGTCGTTACTGGTGACCCTGTCACATTGATTACACTGGTGCTTGTGCTGGCATTGCGCACAGCAATGCTTGTCACATTAATGCCCAACGTCAGCCGAGTCTGCTCCAAGGCCTTTTCTGGCACTGCAAATGCCTCTAGCTTCTTCTCTCCATTAGCCATATAGGAGTTTTGGCAGCCACGGCATATGCAGTCAAGGCAGGCTTTGCGGTTCGAGTAGCAAGGGCAGCGTTGGCCACGGCATGTAAGAACACTTGGATTTTGGGTGGCACGACCACATTTACACCCTTTCTTTTCTTGGGGCTTTTTATACACAGTTTTCGTTGGGCTCCCTGGCATAACGTTACTGCTAGGAACCTTTTCCTTTGCTTTGTCTTTTGTTTTCAGCACTCCCGGTTTGGCTTTGGGGTGGGATTTCTTAGGGGCATGTTCTAAATTCTTTTTCATGCTTTTGTTGGACAGCAGCACAGTTTTACTGACTTTGGGAGTACTGCCTCCGTTAGGTACAGTTGCGATAGGCTGCAAAGACATTTTGCTCTCCTGCTTCACCGTCACAGGAGCCGATGCTCCCAGCATTGGGCCACAGATGATGCTGGAAATGGGCAGAGGTTGCACCTTTTCGCTGTCACTTTCGGACCGAGATCGCTTTCTGTTTAACTTAACTACCTTGGGCGTTGCTGCTGTACACGAGATCCCGTGAGAAGATGCATCTGTGGACACGAAAATGTTATGACTAAGAGGTGGGGGAGAAAGTTGCAGAAAAGGGCCATTAGTCATGTTGGCTTCCAAGCTGGGCTGCAAATTCGAAACGGTTTCAAATACTGAAGCTTGTGGTTCTAAGCTGCGCAGAACCTCCTCGACGCTGAGAAGCAGTGATCCGCCTGGTTTGATATCTTCACTGAAGCTGCAGATGTCGATGCCTGTTGGACACAAGTCACTAGTAGAAACTGTATCACACACGGGCTGCAGACTACTAGACATATCTTCAGTTTTTATATACTCTCCAGTAGTGCACACATCAATTGTGTTTGTGTGTTCAGGAGAAGGGATATTCACTCCGAGTTTATCTACTGAAAGCCCATTACAACTGGGCAACCCGTTGATAACAGAACTTCGGATGTCGAGGTTGTGGGAGCTTTCAGGTACGGATGAGAAACTCGCTGCAGGATCGCTCGTGAGCTCTGAGGTCGAAGGTACTGGGGAATGTGTCAAACACAAAGCCAGGGCTGCGTCAGAAGGTTTCTCTGGCTCTTCGTGGAGTGGTGACCCATCTTTGAGCAAAGCCAAAAGATCTGCGGAGCAATCGACTGCCTGGATGATGTCTCGGGCCAGTGGAGTTTGTGTTATGTATTCGCAGAGTTTCTTATAGCAGTTCACTAGAATGCTCAGCTGCTTATTCTCCTCAAACTGTTCGTAGTCTTTGCACCAGCTGCATGATGGTTTCATCATCATCTTCTTGCCTTTACAAGTYTTGCAGACATAATGCTGGCATGTGGAGTTGGTAGGAGCTATAGGGTCTTGGAGCAAGTTTCCTAACAAAGAAAAAGAAAGAAAAAAAAATTAAAATGGACTCAGGCCAAGTGTCCAGTATAACCTAGGACGAATCTCTTGTGATACTCATCATAACTGCCTAGAAAAGCTCAGTAATTAAGCCACAGAAGAACCAAACCAACCATCCAAGCAATATTTTAGGAAGTTCTTACAGCTACCAGACCTGGTTTTATAATAAAGCTGAATTAAAAAATAAATAAAGAAGAAAAATCGTAAGGCACTACTGTAGCCTTTAGAAACCCTTTCAGCTAAAACACTACTGACCCAGTCCACCCCCTCAGGGGTTTCTTCAATTAAGAGTGATAAAACATGAGACTTCTATGAGTATATACAATAACAACAGAAAAACAAAGCATTTCTGCAAAAAAAACTAACAAAACTTGAGAAACAAATGGAAACAGAGCAGGGGAAATCCCTACAAGGAATGAATGTGGCTGCCCTAACCACACACCCACAGCACCTCCAGTGGGGTCACTTTTAAAGAACTGAATTGGTTGCAGAGCCATTAAGGCATGGAGGAGGCTGCAGGTATTTCTTGGCGAGACAATCACTTTCCTCAACGTTAGTATCATTAAGCTTAAAAAAAAAGTCAAACATAATACAGAAATTCACTGAAAATTAGGTTTAATTAGTTTTAATCCTCAGGGAATGGAGAAGAAAGTCCCCTGGCCAGTGACCCGTTGCACTGAGACCACAACTTACAGCTTGTTTCAGATACTGCAGTGCTTTTCTGCTATACCCTTTTCTGAGCCAGGGGGGTTGCAACTCTGGTAGCATTTAATACCTGGTGTGGTAGCTGTTTTAAGCTATTTAAACCACAAGTTTKGGCTTTTTTCACTGATACTCAATACTACAATGAGGTTTTCATGGAGTTTTCCATGGCAAGACCAAGGTCTCGCTTTCTGGTGAGTCTCAGTGTATATAAAAGTGATGGGATGTGACAAGTTAAATATACTTTTCTCCATTTCTCACCTATCTAAACTGAATTAGGCATTTTATTGCACATTTATTCATCCTCGTAAGATCTTTCTATGATTACTGAATGTAGCCCTTAACTTTTACTACCCTAAACAGCCTGGCATTGGCCTCATATTTGCTCTCCCTCTTTCACAAGGGGTATACTACTATGCCAAAAGCAAAATCATCACAAAACATCCAGCAACAGTTTATATATTCTCTTTAACAACATCAGTTCTTAGCTCTTTTACTTTCAGAAAGGTTTTCCAATTATCTACTTTAGTATGAGCAATTACATTTATTAAGATGCATGCATAGAAGAGATACTTTTAAAATATAATTTACAAAACATCATAGTTGTCCTGGAAATGTTGCTATGGGAGGAAGGCTCTTAACGAGCATCACTCCACAGCTGCAGGAAGARGGGAAGCATCTGCAAGTTGTATCTCACAGACCAAAGCAGCAGAAGAACTGRGAATCAAGGCAATATTAGGCTTATATCCAGAAAATATGCTCTGAATTGATGAGATTTAAGAAGAAAGCCTTTAATCAGAACAGGTCATCTCCTTTCATCCTCATCTATCTTTGGCAAAGGCAGAAGGATAAAGCCCTACAAAGAAGGGTCGGGRGGAGAGTTAAGTCCTCAGTGCAGGAATACTCTAACTAAGCCTCTGGAAAAGCCTATTGAAATATTATTTATTGCTGTTTTTAACAACAATGAAGTTTAAGAATGATGTAACCATTGAAATGAGTCCTAACTTAACAAAAGAAACTAGGAAAAAAAAGTGAAAATTGGTTGCAAATTAAAAAAAAAGTAAAAATGTTTTACTGGAGTTAATCTCAAATACTTGTCTGCCAAAGCAAAATCTTGACTCCTCAATTACATTCACATCACCCAAAATAACTTGCTTTACAGYGTGCAGCAAAAAAGTAAGAAACTCCACAGCCAGCGATCCCTGTGGCTTCCAACTGTTGCTCTACCCAATTGTAGTATCGGCTCCTCAATGAGAAGAGGCATTAACGTCCATGCACACCATGCAGGAAGCAACTGGTGAGTTCTCCTACTGTAATGAGCGACGGGAGTTAATGCTAACAAATTGCTGCAGTCAGTTTTCAGAGCTAGCAGCCTCCTGCAGTGGAGAAGCTAGTTCTTGCTGCCTGGCAATCCTGCTGCAGTGGCTCATTTCTTTAGGAGAAGGAAACTCTCCAGGAAAGAATAAGCCAGGGATTGGGGCTTATTAGGACTGTTTGGCTGCGTTTGCTTTCCCAAGGTTATCACGTTAACTTGTCTCACAAAGAGCTCTGACGTGCCAGGAGCAGCACAGGAGAAGCGTGAATGCAAACAGGCAATGAAGAAAGAGGAAGCAGGAATTCCCCCTCTTGGAGTGATAAACAGTTCAGTGGGGTTGCTGCTCCTCCTGTACCCTTGACTTTGCTTTCCTGATGGAGCCCTTTGCCAATTTCTCCTCTCTGGCTCTTGGGTCCCCTTCCTATCGGCCTCCCTGGCACGGCTGGGGTAGCCTCAGGGCTCACACAGCAGCGCAGACTGAACAGGACTCATTCAACCTCAGCAAGACAGCTCTGTGCCAAGTTTGCACACAGAGCGTTACACTTGGTGGAAGCAGGGAAGACACCTCTTCCCGCACCGAGATTTTCAGAGCTTGAGAAAAACTATTTAGCAGCTCTGTTTGCAAAAATTGCTGATAAATGACTGGGCTCACCTAGAGCAGTGGAAGTGTTTGCTACCCATTTGCACCGCGAAAGCAAGTACTATGTAAGCCTGCAACTACTCTGCAAGGGTGCAAGAGCCAGACACTTACCGGAAGATAATGACATAATATTGAGAACCACAGAAATTTCAAGAAAGAGTTGAGTTTAAGGAWCAATTCCAAGGACAAGGCAATAGTAAGGGATCTTTCCACAGATCTCAAGCCTTACCACAAAACCTGYCCCAGCTTGTGGACTCCAGACGGTAAACGTGAATATAAGTGTAATRATGTCTTTCAAAGTCACAGTTGCCAGATTTAAAGAGGCTTTAAGCAGCAATGTTCACATTTCTGCTACTGCTGCACACATGAATTTAACATGTTACTCTACACCATAAGGACTCCAAAGAGTTAACACCTACTCTGAAAGTTTAGATCAAGTTAATTATAGTAATTTTGCTCTCAGAGCAAACAAGAAGCAACAAAATCTTATTTCCATCCACAAACACCCATCAAAATTAACCACGATCTTCTTAGAGCAAACTCAGCTTTGCAAGCATCCTGGCAAAGGAACCAGTACTGTGTCATGGGATGAATTACAGCATGGAAAGGCTTCAAAGTAGATTCCTGTCTAAGAGTGGGAAAAATCTTTGCTCTCTAAGAAGTCAAGCACCAGAAAAGTTGTGCGGTGCACTATTTTCTCAGTTATGTAATAGAGGCAAGGAATCTTTTTGGCCTCACACAGAACTCCAACCTAATACTCCACAACTGCTTATTCCACATGCAGTCAGACTTATCTGTAAGCYATATAACACAGTAAGAAAAAGAAGCCAGAGGCAGCTCTCTGGAGTCTCTACGTCCAAAGACATGGTGATTCAGCTGTCCCAATAAAGGTGTCTGTTGACAACATTAACTTTTCTTTAAACACTCTTAAGTGTGATAACACTCTCAAGTGTTATCAGTTTAATAATCAATATCCTCAGACCATCAAAACCAGCCCATCCCCTCCCACTGCCTCAATAAACTCACATGGTCATCTCAAATCCAAGAGGTACATATTGCAACCTTCACTTTGCAACCTGCTCTTCAATTTCAACCCCAATTCCCTGCTAAGATGGAACTGGTTACTTCTTCTCCTGGCTTTCTTTGCTGTTTGGTTCTAAGCCAGATTAGAAACCAATTTAAGTTCAACTGGTACTATTTTGTGCAGCCAGAACTTACATAGCATGATGGAGACTGCCTCAGGAAATGCAGTTTTCCCCAGAATCACACAAAAGTTGTGAGGCAGGAAAGGGAAACAATGAATTTACATGAGGAGACTTTAAGAGGAAGAGAAACCAACCAACACAAGAACAGTTAAGGCTGGAAAGGACCTCTAGAGATCATCTAGTCCAACCCTGCTGTTCAAACAGGGACACCCAGAGCACGTGGCACAGGGCTGCATCCAGGCAGGTCTTGAAGATCTCCAGAGAAGGAGACTCCACAACCTCTCTGGGCAGCCTGTTCCAGGGCTCTGTCACTCTCATTGTAAAGAAGTTCTTCCTCACATGGAGATGGAACTTCTTGTGTTTTAACTTGCACCCAATCACCCCTTGTCCTATTACTGGCCACCACCAAGAAGAGTTTGGCCCCATCCTCTCCCTACATTCACCCTTCAGGCACTTACACATATTGATCAGATCTCCTCTCAATCTTCTCTTCGCCAGGCTAAAAAGGCCCAGCTCAYTCAGTCTTTCCTCGTATGACAGATGTTTCAGTCCCTTAATCATCTTTGATGCTCTACACTAGACCCTCTCTAGAAACTCCACATCCCTCTTATACTGGGGAGCCCAGAATTACACATGGAGGTAGTGAGCAAATGATATCAGATAGATTCAACTCAAACAGAAAAAAAGAGTCAACAAATTACTTTTTATATATATTTTTTAATCCATTCCTTTCCTCCTGCTTGGGAGTTGCGCAGTATACACACCACATCACTACCCCTCTCTCAAGCTACAGCTGCATTTCTCCAGGGCTACCCCAAAGGACCTGCCAGCAGCTGGGCAACATCCTGCTCAGCACTGTCACATTGTTTCTTTGTCCCTTCCCACCCCTTAATCTGTCTGAGCCACATGCTGCTGTCTCATATCCCACTGCTTGGATTATGGGGAGTTTAAGACAAGAATCGAGTTCTCGCCCTGCCTTTCCACAAGCTCCAGCCAGGTTCTGGGTCAAAGGGTTATTCAAAAGCCCTGCAACCTTTCAAGCACTTTTCACATTCTAAAACAGCAACACCAATCTTTCACTTACCTTGAACATTTTCTAACATACCTTCC